GTGTGTGGTTTTTGTTGGGGGGGGGGTGGGGGGATTTTTATTTTTTTTTAGCAGTTGTCTCTCAGATGACTTTCACATTAAGTGCTTTCAAAATCAAAGCTCAGTTTTCAGAGTGATTTTAACCACACCATCAGCAAGAGTTTTTCATACTGGTCCCTTCTGGCAGTTTAATTAGCCCACATGAATAAAGATAAGGACAGATGTGTCTCACCCTTCTCTATATGGTTTATGATGATTATTGAAGATCTGTTCCTTGTCTTTGACCTGTTATGTAGTATAAACTTGTCTCGGGCCAAGAGAGAGCTGAGTCAGCTCAACCAGCAGACCTCACCCCTCCTCAAACTGCTCTGCCTGCGTAGAGTCACCCTGACCGCCACCCAGACCCCCAGGCGCACCGGTACATACTCTGTGTGTCTGTGAGCATTACTTAATGTGAATATCTCTCGACTAATTCTCCATGTTCCTCAGTTTTCTAATGTCCTGACACAGGCATGATCCTCATATTGTACTGATAGCTGTGGTTGATTTAAATTAAATTGAATGAATCTGAAGACCGAGCTGAAATTCTGCTTCATCACGAAACCCCCTCGACCAGTCTCTTGACAAAGGACGCTGCACATTTATACATTTCAGAGTAAAGAACTGGTACTGGATGCTGTCAGGTGTAGCTGGCCAAATTCAGATGCAAAAAGATTAAATCCTTTTACCGGAATGTCACTTTTATTCACAATTCTCTATTTGCATGCAGAATAAATTTACTGTTTTTGCCTCTGTAGAACCTCTTTACTTTTCTGTCAGCATGTGGGCAGTTTCTCTGTGCATCTGGCTACATTTAAGAATAAGCAGAAGCAGAGGGATTGTGCAGGTCTCCTTTTCCAGACATAGTTTCACTAATGCATGAGGAAAGAATCAGAATTAAAATCAACAATTCTGAGGCAAGGAAGAATTACTGGACTAACCCATGACATGGCAAATTTCTGCGTGTTTACAACAGGGACAGTGACAACACTTTGTACAGCTAATACATCATTTGTGAGGAAAACTGTTAGAAGTGTCCAGACACCAAATATAAGAGTGTGTTTAGACATACAGGCCCTGTTTAGACTTGGTATTACAATACGTCTCTGTGATCCGAACACTAGTGGACTGTTGAGGCACATCACCGTTCACACCTGTCCTCTCCAAGGTGTCCGCTCATGTTCTGATTTCACTACTGTGACACCTCTGCTTACTTCATTCTGTAACCAGACAAGGGCAATAGTTTCCCTCACTGAAGAAGACGGGCATTGGATTTGTACATGGATGTGCTATGAAAGCTTTCATTATACAGTACATTGACGGCTTTGTTTCGGATGTTTATCTTCATTTTTTTCTATTTTTTTGGCCGTTGGTGTGCTCTCACCACAACAGCCATTACATCCTGCACTGATGACATATTTAACTCTGGCGGCCTTGTCAGAGATGCATCAGGACATATTGGCTTTTGCACAACAAAAGATGTGATCAAATGTGTCCCAGACCACCTTGGCACAAGGTTTCAGTGATGGTTACACTGCACTTAGCACAGTTCATTTGATTCAAGCTTTCAGTGATTTTAATGCGCACTGCACATCATTTACACTAGTTGTAAAGTTGCCACAGGCTGCAGTTGTCCTGGCCTGGTTTTTTGTGCAGCTTGTAACTCACAGCACCAAGGGCTTCACTGCGCTGGAACCATTTTAATTTTGTACTGTATATTATTGAAATATTTTATCAGTTTACAATTTTAAAAAGTGACCGCTTACTCTTACTGTGTTCAGAACAAATACTAAACTAATAGATAGCTTACCTTTAATGAACAAAAGCATTATTGAGAGATGTGGGCATAATTCACTTAATTCACCGTACAAGTCAAAGATGTGATCACACTCGGCGTCTGAAAAACTCTGCGGCCCAAAGTTGAACTGACAAACAGGATCACTTCAGCTGACGTAAACCAAAATAAAAACAGACAGGAAAATGGACATTTGTAAATCTAGTAGCTTTTAATTCAGTCACTGAAACCAAGTCACATTTGTATCTAGCAGTCTGAAATCAGAGCAGCACATAGGACAGTACCTGCTCTGTTGGCCTTTTGTGTGTTTTGCTTTGGAAACCCAGTGGTCCACAAAGCCCCCGCTGCCAGTCTGCAAATCGGATGATCCGCTCCTTAATGTTTGTCAAGCAGCCACTATCATTTGGCTTGGACGGAGGGAGAGGCTGTTCAGTAGCATCAGGGTGAATCTAGGATGACTTAAAGTAAAATTACTCGGTTTTGTTTTTGTGTCTTTCCTCAGTTGTTTCACCTAATTGTGTCTTTCTCTGCAGTGAGTATAGAGGCCGTATGTGCAGACGACTTGCTGTCTGTCATCCTCTATCTGCTGGTGAAGACGGAAATCCCTAACTGGTGAGCTGTAACTCTGAGAGACATCCTTGGCCCCCTCTTGCCTGAGCATCACTCCTGTCTAGGGTTGCAGCGGCATGCCAGTTTTATGGTACACCATAGTCTGAAAATTGACTGTTATCATATTGTGCATATTTGCTTTTTACCGGTATTGAAGAAAAAAAATGTAACAAGCGTGCACCTTTCTTCCCCGACTGCCTGTGAGACTCTGCAACAGGTGCCACACACATGGCAGAGAGAAGGAGGCAGAAATTACCAAACTCCATCTGTCAAATAATAAATTAGGATTAGTTTGGACATCTCAGAAATGGGCACCGTCTTTCCATACAGGTCAGAATGTGTGCCCAGTTTATTGCTTTAATCACAAACAATAAACATGGGTTATAAAATGAGCTATCAAAACAATTTTACACATTGTCTGCTTGTTCGCTCTGACTTGCAAAAGGACTCGCATTGATCTGATCCCAGAAATGCGCACAGACTTTCCTGGCTCATATAAATGAGTGTGTGTGTGTGTGTGTGTGTGAGTGAGTGTGAGTGAAGGCACAGACAGGCCTGGCTGCGCTCGCACACACCTGCAATAAATTAACAACTATTCCGATAATGGTTTAGAGCATCATTGCACCACGTCTCACTACTGTCATAGGTTTTACAAACTAGTCAGTCGATTAGTGGAGAAAATAATGAGCAGGTTGATCCATAATGAAAATAATCAGCTGATTGATCCATAATGAAAATAATCAGCAGCTGCACTTGGATCCAAACTAGTCCAGCAGAGCTGCAGCTTGACCAGCTGCACCAGTCACAACCTGCTGTTGCATCAGTGCATGAGTCAGGCTGGTAATGTGTCGTTATGATATACTGTATAGTGTAACATTTTTCTGCGCCGAGTAGCCTGCTAATACGTTTATTTTAAGTACATTATTGTGTTAATGCTTACTTTTAATTATTATTAATGCAGGACTTCTTTAAAAAGCCTTTTGTTGTATCAGAGGCTACTTTTGCAGTGTGGCATTAGTACTTTTACCTAAGTAAAGGATGTGAATACTTCCTCTACTACAGGTGCTAACATGCAAACTAACCTGTTTTAGTTTTATAGCATGTTTTAGATGTATGCTGTTTTTTTTTTTTTTTTTCTCCTTTTTAATATATGATATGATATTTTCTGTGATTGTTATTATACTAATCTAAGTCCAGTTGATTTTTTTTTTCTAAGGTTTTTTCAGTTTACTATGACCTGGATGACTGAGAATCTGCACACACATGTTATTATACCATGAAAATTCGTACCGTTGTAACCCTTCTCCCGCATGTTGGAGGGAAACAAAAATAAAACAAGAATGACTAAACATACCATTAGAAACAACAGTCACAGTATTGCTACGGTCATGTTAATGCAAGTTCAGCCACACGCAGAGAGAGCTGCCCTGCCTACATATAAATATTATATTTAAATGTGAGAGCCTATATTACTCTCTAATGCAACTTTACTCACTCCGGGAACTTGCTGATCATAGTAAACCCAGAGAATCGAGCGTGAGGAGCAATGATCCCTTAATGCACTAAAAGAGGCTGCCCACTGTGCTATGGAGTCTCTTGCTCGCTCCCTTATTGAGCTGATCTGTCGGAACTGGGGTCTCCCGGATGCGCTATACCTGAAACGGCTTATTGCGCCTGTGAGAAAAAAGGTCCATTCTTTTGAAAAGAGAAGACTAATAAAAAGATATATTTCTCTATATGAAATTTATTATGCATTAACGTATCAAAATAAGCATGTGCACATGGATCCCTTCTGTTTAGGATAAACAGAAAAGACTAACTTCAACTTAGCAGTACACAACATTTATATGAAAAAATGTTACTCTCTGATTGGTCCAAAAACTGTTGGGGAGGAATTGTGGTTTACGATTGGTCCTTCAGTCCGTCCATCCTCCAATCTTCCTCTCTGATCCAATGGTTGTAGACAGCACCCTAAAAGGGAGGAATACCTGCCCTGTCTTAATTCTTACATAGACACCTATTCTTTCTTACCAAGAGACTTTGACACTAACCCCCCTTAGCAATAAAACTTCTCTGCCTGTGTGAGTGTATATTACCCTGTCTTTTGAAGTTGTCTTCTCTTCCTGCTTTAGATTGAATCTCTGTTCCTGCTCTCCTAAAAACTCCAATAAACTTCTAGCCCCCCATCCCATCAGCCAAGTGGTGTGGTAATAAAGTAATTGTGGACCCTCTTTGCTAAAGCTATTAACCTTAAAACTCAGTGTTTTAGTAAACCAGTCTCCTTTGATGTTAAACAGTACTCTAGTTGGCTTACAGAGAAAATACTGACCAGTGATTCAATGCAGACTTAAAATGATATGTAACTACATAAACATAAACACAACTGTGAGAGTAAAACATATAAACTTATGTATGCTATATAATAAAAACCCTAACTAATTATATATTTCTATCTAAAAATGAAAATCACCCTAACACGCCCTTAGTCACTGAGTAGCTGTGTAGGTTGATTTTGTATCTTGTTTGTCTTCAGGATGGCCAACCTGAACTACATCAGGAACTTCAGCTTCAGCCACTCCAATAAAGATGAACTCAGCTACTGTCTGAGTACCTTCGAAGCTGCAGTGGAGTACATCAATCTGGGGAAGCTGCAGGACACACACGCTGTAAGAGACACACATCCACACGTGAGAATAGAATTTTGTTCTGTAATCACACTGTTGTGTCTCTGCAGAATTTGTCGGTAATGAAAATTATCAATGTTTTGTTGTTTCTCTCATGTCAGGGCTCAAGTGAGCTAAACAACATGGTGTTGTTCAAAGAGAGGGTGTTGTCTCAGAGTGCTGCTACACCCATCCACCGTCTGTTTGAGGTGAGCTGCACAAAGCTGGACCACTGCTGCACAACTCGGTGGCTGCTCCATCCCAGCATCCACTAGCTACTTTGAATAAATTAGTAGACAGCCAGAAAGAGAATAACAGATGCCAAACTGTAAACTTTTGGGCTGAATGCTGATGTGGGCACAAAGACTACACAGACATTAGCATTAGCAACTTGTGGAATTGTCGGCTAAGAAAACCAAAGTATTGCTATATATCTTGGCACATGAATAGTGTAACACTATCAGCAGAATGTGTATTGTGTCACCTGTTTGCACATTGGCACACATGTGAGTCCTTTTGTATGCACGAGACAAACGGGGACCCAGTCATAGGAAGTTCCTCCATAGTCCTAATCAAGTTCAAAAGCTCCGCAGGGTACTGTTAACATGCTGACGTTTTGTTACCTTGCAGCATTGGTCTATGCAATATGTTACATTATGTCATAATCATGTTAGCACATTTTAGCCCTTTGAGCTAACAAGACATGTTTTATAGTAAAACATCCAGGTGAACAAGTTCTAATCGATGAATGACTTGTCAGTCACACGTCAAAGGCCACGCTTAGAGAAGAGTAGCATTTAGAACCAAGAAACAGAGTTAAGGCTAAAAAACAACTTAACAGCAAACTGTTAACAACACATTTAATTACAACTTCATTCATTTGATTTTACTGTAGTCTTTACACATCTTTGATTAGTGTCCAAGTATGCGTTATATTGTTGTGTGATATTGGCCAGCGAAGAATCAATCTGATCTAAAACACTTTAGGAAATACGAAAAATGCCCAGCACAATAGTCTAATAGTCCAAATTCAGGACAAGCAAAGGAGGCAAACTGACACCATCAGATGATTTTTTTTTTTTTTTTATTCTTAGAGTATTGATCGATTGTCAGAATAACTGTTAAATAAATTTCAAAATAGTTGCAATGTATTGTGGAAAGCACAGTACTCTAACCCTCACTGAAATGAAGAAGAATGAAAGATGGTTTTGGGAATGTTTCCTGGTATCTCCTAGACCAAATTTGGTTGTCTTGAAAGTGATTGAGGGGGTCACTGAAGAAGTTGTAATTTGTGCTAAATAAGAATTGATTGATTAATTTCTGTCATATTTCATTTGTCTTTGTTGCAGCACATAGCAAAAGGAAACGAGGCAGAGGTTAAACGTCTGCTGAGTGAACGAGAGAGTGATGAGGATTTCAAGATGTGTCACCCCCTCTGCTCCTGTGACCTCTGTGATCTCCAGTTGTCTGGGTCGGCATCCCCACACATTTGTCTTTCTATAGTAGTGGGTACTTTGAGTGAGAATGCATCCCCTAACCTTAAACTCAATCCTCAGAACTATGTGTCTACCTCAAGCCCTTCCCTAACCCTCGTTCTAATCTGAACCTTAAAACCAATTGTGAACATCCAGCTATACCACATATCCTGTAGAGGGTTGCTTGTGGGCTGGAGCCATTCCCAGCTGACACTGGGTGGAAAGTGGGGTGCATCTGAATTGGTCACCAGTCTATCACAGTAACCTTAAAACAGGCCTTTGAAACAATGTTGTCACAGTCAAAAGCAGCTTTATTTAGGCATTTCACACTGCAGAAATGTCCTTATTTACCACAGTTTAAACTGAAAGTGGTCCTAACAATAGAGCAATATACTCAATAACACATCTTTTTTTTTTTTTTCCTCCATGTTCTGGCGCACCATGTGGGTGTTCTTCGCACATCACTAAACAAATCTACATTATATTTAGAGGTGTTCCTAATATTCAGACCCTTTCGTTTATGTAGCCACAGAGGACAAAATTAGAGACCCCTCTGAATATAATGTAGTCCAGCACAACACTGCCTTTAACTACGACCTCAGTAACAAACGTATAATTGAATTTGAACATTTATGACAGTCTCACCAAAACCTGAAACATTTAAATAATGTCACCACTACTGATGGCTCTGTTTGTAGTATTTCTGTTAAAAGCATAAATAGTAGTCCTGTCCATAGCTTCATGCTCATGCATGCAACAGAGTGACACGCTGGAACAGGACAACACATTCACACAGTAGAGTTTCAGTGCATACAAGAGATGTCTGCATCATCTTCATTTATTAATAATTGTTTAGATGTTGAACGTGTGTGTGTGTGTATGCACTGGAATTCCTATTACTTCATATAATCTCTGCATTATAGGTATGTAATGTACAGCAATATTCTGTAGTTTGTAGATACAAATATTCAAAGTGGTATCACTGTAACACAGCCTATTAGTTCTATGATTAATAGATTTTCTTAATAGCTTTGCCTCAATAATCAAATGACAGTTTTTAAATCAAGTTTTTCTCCACATGTAGTTTTTTTTCTGTGCAACATAAGAGCACTTCTTAATCTTTTCCAACAAATAATTAGCAGATTTCAGGAAATAATTAAGCACAGTTGTCTACAGTTTTAACATTTATCACTTATGTGCTTTTGATCAAAATTAGTTTCTTTTCAGTTAAACTGTCTCACTGTTCACATCATCCCGTGACAGTTGTTAAAATATGTCAAGCTCTCAACTGTTATGAATTCGACATGTATAGATAAGTCACTTTAGAAAGAAGTCCCATCCCTTCATTCTCTGCATATTCCAAGTGCTTTTTTTTCCAGTTTTACTATAAGTTTACAGCAGTTAAATGTGCATAAAATGTGGGGGTGGGACCCTTTCCTGAAGCGACTGTAGCTTATACTTTAAATTCTGGTAAACTGATAACCTGGCCAAGGATATTGAGGAAAAAATGTTTGGCTGGCAGCACAGCCGGGCCAAACATCTCACCGGGAATGGCAGGCAGGGTGCAGGGCACCTTCCTGCAGAAGGGGGATGGGGCAAGCCACAGTTGGTGGCAGGCCAGAGTCAGGGTAGACGCTGGCCCACTGTGCCGCTCAACAAATCAAAACTAAAAATCCACCAGTTGTGTTCAGAGCATTTGCTGTGCTCTTTGCTTTTAATTCTCCTTTAGATGTGTCTAGAACTCGACTGAAATCCACCTGTGGCAGACTGAAGTTTTATGTAGACTTATTGACTCAGAGGTTTCTGAAACCACTGAGTCTTATGGCTGTAAACTGTTGAGAAACATCAACTGTGGCCCAGAGAGGATAGTGTCATTTTGTGTCCAAAATGTGACATCATGCTATGAAAAGTCTGAACGGCATTTTGACAATTTCTACCTCATGCTGTTCTTAAAATATTTACAGTGACCAATTATCCATTAAAAATTAAGATCTCTGCTTGCTTTCTTTATTGCCACTTATCACTGTAAACAAGATTGCCATCGGTTTTCTGCCTTTTTTTCCGCCTCACAAAGTAACACTCTCTCCCCTGCTGTTAATGACTTGTGTAAAGTTGCTGGGTTTTTTTTTTACTGTTGAAGGCGGTTGAATGACCCGTCCATCATCACCCTGTTCTCCAGAGATGATCGAGGTTACACTCCGCTGCACGCTGCTGCAGTCTGTGGTGAGGGGCATAAAAAAATGAGATTCTTTTGTAATGCAAATTCTAATTTACACATAAAATGGATGAACCAAACTCTGTGTTTCAGGTCAGGCCCAGCTGATTGACGTGCTTGTGCGTAAAGGAGCGCCGGTTAATGCCACAGACTACCACGCCCTCACACCACTGCACCTGGCCTGCCAACGGGGATACCAAGGAGTCACGGTGAACACACACACTCCTACAGTGCAAAACTAGTTAGTGTGTGATACATGATACTATTCACTCTTGAATTTAGGCCACAGTTACAAACACACCATGTGCTATTGTTAGTTAAGCTACTGGATGTAAACAGTGTTTTATCTATCAATGCAGACACTCTGGTTTTAGAAATTGGTGTTAATGTAGAGTAGGATACGTTAGCCGCATGGCTAATCCCCAAAAAATCGAAAGTTTTAGGCTGCAAACATGAAGGAAGCCACTCGGCTAGACTTGTCACAATGTAGCCGTACACGCCTACAACGCTCCCCCTGCAGCTCCTCAGCCCCTGCCCTAGGCGCCCCTTACGTTAAAACAGCAGGGGGTTGCGTTTTACTGGACTCAGTCTGAATACTGGTGTACTTTGTGTCCTCTAGCTGCTGCTGCTGCACTACAAGGCGAATGCGGACTCTCAGGACAATAACGGCAACACGGCGCTGCACCTTGCCTGCATGTATGGACATGAGGACGTAAGTCAAACAGTGGCACTCCTTATTATGACTACTTTTTCAGCACAGACCCTGAATTTTATTTATCATTCAGTCCAGTAGTTCCCAAACCTTTTTGCTTTTGAGCTCTTTATACAAAGCAATATGTATTTGCAAATCCTCATTATGGGTCTGTAAGCTGTGAGCAGGTCAGTGGGTTATACTTAATCTATTTTGTATCAAATTTATCAGATCAATTCATTCCAGATAAAAGAAGCAAAGATTAAAGTTTGAAAAAAGAGAAATGTCTCTGATGCAGAATTTAGCTTTTTAAATTATTTTCTACTCCATTAAGGTTTGCCACCATATCATTCTTTAAAAATCATTCTTCAACATTAGTTTGCATCTAGTAACTTTTGTATTTTTTTTTACATTTTATGGCCTAAACATTTAATGAACTACTTTAAAATGTAAAGGAGACAGAAAATTTCTCTTCAAATGAACAAGAGGGGGTTCTGGGAACAAGATGTGTGACATCATGTTCACTGTGTGTCAGTGTGTGAAGGCCCTGGTATACTACGACATCCAGACTTGCCATCTGGACCTGCAGAATGATAAAGGTGACACAGCGTTGCACATGGCGGCTCGCTGGGGTTACGAAGGAATCATCCAGGTGTTGCTGGAGAATGGAGCAAGCACCGACATCCCCAACAGGAACAAAGAGTCCCCGCTGCAGTGTGCACTAAACTCTAAGGTCAGCAACACATGGATTAGTATGTTTCCAAACTGTTCAGAGCTCAGTGTGGAGAATCAAAAGAAAGCCAGGTGCAGGTTTTCACTTTGCAGAGGTGTTTTCTCACCACAATTTAATCTCATAGAAACAGTCAGTATATCAGATCATTTCAACAATTCTCTGTGTGCTGAAGCTTATCTTGTATTCATTTTCATACATTTCCATTCTCATCAATTTCGATGATGTTCCTGTTTTTGTCTGCACCACCACCTGGACTATGTGGTAGGGAGTCAGGATCCAAAACCAGCTGAAATGACTGGAAACCAAGAGTCACCTGAGGCAGTTTGGCTGGTTAAACACACAAAATGATCATCTTTGGAATCACCCACACTCTGTGAACTGCTGATTTAAAAAGTCTTTAACTAATTGGTATCAGAGATCTTATAGGGGGCCCTGGTTAGGTTAGGACAGGGGGACCCAGATGCAGTTCCCGTCTATCCACATAGCCAGTCTCCCTAGCCAACAAAATGGATGAACTCCTTCTCGTCATCCGGACTAATTCCGACTTCTCACACTCTGCTGCTCTATGCTTCACGGAGACTTGACTCAGCGACTCCATCTCGGACAGCTCAATAGAAATACCGGGCTTCCAGGGGCACAGAGCAGATTGCGTAGTTATCCAGGAAAACGAGAGGAACACTTTTGTAAACTACCTTTTTATTTATTAAATACAGTAATAATATAGCGCCTTTGTGCTTGCTGCTGTTGTGCTGTTCATTGTGTGTCGCTTCTGCACGAGCTGGCTGTTGCAGCAGCATGCTTGTTGCTGTGCCCTTCTCCTGTAGTACATCTCTCTCTAAATCATCGCAGTGTTGTTAAAAACACAACCAGAGAGCAGGAGCTGGTCTGTCAGTGTGTGAGAGAGAGAGAGAGGGAAAGAACAGGACAGGACAGGGAAGTGAACAGGACAGGGAACGGATGAGGGAAACAATACACTTTGTACAGCTCTGTGATTAAATAAGATTGTACCCAGTAAAAATAGAAAATCAGTGAGTGAGGGGAAATTATCTACTTAAGTAATCACAGATTGCATCCTTCTATAAAAAAAAAGTGATAATCAAATTGGGTGACCAAATATAGGCTATTTGGGTGGCTGTTAATGTACCTGGGCAGCCCACCCAAATAAAGGCTACGTTGGGGAAACACTGGTCTGACCAGTAGGTCATGGAGGGGATGTAAGGTGTTCTCCATGTGCAGCATCTTCTTCTCTACAACCAGCTCACTATCTTTTTGTTGGTATCATTCACGTAAGTCAAAAAGGAAAAGTAGTAGCATTTCATGCACAAGTGCATTTTATTTTCCTGTAGATCCTCGTGTTGTTGCAGTCGACTCAGAATGACCGTCAGGGCGGCGGGCTTGACATAAGTCCGATCTTCTCTCCTTTCTCTGGTTCCTCGGTATGGATTAGCATATCTAGCACTCATGCAAGCAACTGTGTTTCGTTATAGAAGGCCAGTTTTAGCCTATCTCTAACCCTAGGGTTAGGTCTGAGGGATTTTTATCTGACTTGTGTGTCCTCTTCCTCTCAGTCTCCCAGCCGCTCCCCTCTGGCCTCTGATTGCAATATCCGCCGCTCTAGCACCTCCTCTCTGGGCTCCAAGGCTAAACTGGAGGGAGAACGAGTCCGACACCGAGAGGTAAGGTACAGCATCCTGACGGTATGGGATGTGCTCCACACTGACTTGCTCTCAGCTCTAAATCTATTTGAAATCAGACCTGAAATGCAACTGGAAAGAAAGTAGGTCAACCATAGGAATAAGCACTAAAGCAAAACAATGTTCATATCAGTCTGACACTTTAAAAACTAATCAAGCAAGGTGCAAGCCAGTTGTGAATCTAGCTAGTGGCCAAAACAAGATCTGAGGCCGTTTTGGATTAGCTGTTTCATACTGTATTTGTAGACTGAGTAGTTGTCTTCATTTAATTGTGTGCGTACTGCTGATTATACCACAAAATACTATTATACTGTAGTGCGCTGGGGGGTAGGTGGTGCTGACTGAGCTTCCTCAATGGCCAGACATTGTTGTTCCAGAGTTAGTGAGTTCGCGTTGATGTGGGGTGGGGTGGAGGGCAGCTTGGGCATGCTGAGCAGAGGGTGCTGGTGGGACTAAGGGGTTTTGGCCTTCATGCAAATAGTTGTGTTGTTGGTGGTGTTCAGTAATCAAGGCAGTGCTGTGGGGTCGCGCTGTAAGACGCACACAACGCCAGCATGAAAGACTCTGGCTCAGTCTGTTCCTCCAGCCTTCGTTACAAAAACCTGTCTGATTATGCCTCGGCCCCGCTGTGGCCAGGGCTATTGTGTTTTCAGGCCATCCTCAGTAGAGTGCTTCAAGTTCTGGGCTCCACTGTCTCCCAGGACAGTCGTACTGGACCACATTATATTCAGAGGTGTTAATAATATTCTCACCCTCTCATGTAGCTGTGGAGGACAAAAATACAGAGATGCCTCTGAATATAATGTGGCCCAGTACAACACTACCTTTAACTATGACCTCAATAATAAACATAGTTGGATTTATACATTTGACAATTTCACCAAAAACAAACATTTTGAGCTTCATAAACACAAATGTTAAAGCAGAAGTGTTGCATTGACGAGTATACAACAGTCCAGGTGGACCTAAGTGTTTAGTGTATGTACTGTATGTGCATCATATAAAGATTTTTCCTATCAAACTTCTAATGGGATCCAAATGAAGTAGCAGTAATCTAAGTAGGAGCTGAAGAACTGTTGTGTTCAGTAGTTGATGTACTCTATAAAAGAGCTGTATTGACGTCTTCCATAGTTCTTGGTTTTACAAAAGTGGAATCAAATACAGAATTTGTTCAACTGCTGAAGAATAAGCTGCTGATGTTGTGTTGATGTGAGACAGGTGGAGAAACTGCTGCGTGCCGTGGCAGATGCTGATGTGGAGATGGTGAGAAAAGCCACCTCACACTTTATCCATCTGAACATGCTGTTGTGCAGACATCAGGAGTTGGTGCTGCTTCATCTCTGGGTGTTTGTGTTTCAGGTGCGTTATCTGTTGGAGTGGATGGATGAGGAAGAGGAAGATCAAGGACAAATTCAGTCTGAGGCTCTGCTCTGCCACCCACTATGTCAGTGTCCGAACTGTGCTCCCACTCAGAAGGTCTGACTGGAACATCACACAAACACACCATATAACAACAAGGACTACTACTAACAGTGTGGCACATAGTATTTTACATAAAAGCTAAGTATTACAACATTTACAGTAAAACAAGGTCAAATAAAATAAAATAGAATAAAGTTAAGCTTAAACTGTATGACAAGAAAAGCACCTCAGGAGAAACCATTGCTGTAATAATTTAAACTTTTTAGCAGAAAGTATGACTGTGGACAGATACTGTACATTAGTAGACACGTAGAATGTTTGTTAATGTCCGTTTAGTGACAAAAAAAGAAGTGAAACATGACTATATGCTGCAGTGTGACTTGTCTGCATCTGATCCTGTGCCTGCAGCTGTCCGCTCTGCAGGCCGGAGCTCTTAATGTTAACAGTCGTAACACTGACGGCTTCACACCGCTCCACGTTGCTGCCCTGCATGGTCACTTGGCACTGGCTACCCTGCTGATCCGTCACGGAGCCAACGTCAATGCACGCACCAATCAGAGCGCTACACCGCTTCACCTGGCCAGCCAGAACAGCCACGTCCAGGTATGAGCAAAGCGGACAAGGAAGTGGTTAACATGAGGGTGTATTCGCTCAACATACAGTGGGTACGGAAAGTATTCAGACCCCCTTAAATTTTTCACTCTTTGTTATATTGCAGCCATATGCTAAAATCATTTAAGTTCATGTTTTTCCTCATTAATGTACACACAGCACTCCATACTGACAGAAAAACACAGAATTTTTGACATTTTTGCAGATTTATTAAAAAAGAAAAACTGAAATATCACATGGTCATTCTGTGTTTTTCTGTCAATATGGGGTGCTGTGTGTACATTGAGGGAAAAAATGAACTTAAATGATTTTAGCATATGGCTGCAATATAACAAAGAGTGAAAAATTTAAGGGGGTCTGAATACTTTCCGTACCCACTGTAAATACCACAAACAGAGTTGATGAGAGCACAGCAGTTTTTCCATCCCAGCCTCATGCCGAGTTGGTATCTGTACAGCATATGTCAGTCTGACTGTTTATGGGTTTATTGTGTTGAAGTTGGAATTCATCAGAGGTGTCTTACCTGACAAGGTGATGTAAGCTTTTTGTTTTGTTTTTGGTCTTCATTCATCTACAATAACAAACAGTCATTTACTGTATGGCAGGAATGTGTTTGTAGCTAACCCAACATATTTAATGGATATTAAATTAAGGTACTTCATTGCACTGCTGCAAAACATTCATGCTCTCTTGTATTTTGGCCTCCTCCTGCCACGTCTCAAAGTTTGCTGGATCCTTTGGGCTCCTGACTGGTCCCTGTGGTCGGTCTGCCTACTGAACCTTGAGCTCTCAGGCAGCACTGGCCTCATTTCTATGTACTAGGAATTAACCCTAGCCATCTTCGCCCACTGGATCGCTCGCCTTCCCTGGATTTAAGACGTGATTTCGTATTAGGTTTGCCCTGGTAAATGCCAGAATGCAAGAACTTTAAGTTGAGAAATTACTCTGTTGCAAATTTGGGTCTGGATTGAATCATTTTTGTTTATTCTCCACCTGAAGAAGTGATTGTGTCTCTTTCTCCTTGGTGTGTTCAGATGGTGAGGTTTCTGCTTGAGTGCAACGCCAAACTGAATAAGAAAGATCACTATGGCAACACACCTCTGATGCATGCCTGTCTCCGTGGAAACCTAGAGACAGCCACCACACTGTTACAGGTAAACATGCACAAACAAAGGTTTGTCAGTGACATAAGTTCGTGTTAAGTGAAAGCTTGAATGTTTGTGCAGAGCAATGCGTTGATGAATATAGCAAACCTTCAGGGGAACACGGCCCTCCATGAGGCAGTGCGAGGCGGACACCAGGCGGTGGTGGAGCTGCTGCTCAAGGGTGGAGCCTCGCCCGAGATCAGGAACAAGAGGCAGCAGACGCCACTGGACTGTGCCTACGAACTGGGAGGCAAGGTAGTACAAGGAATTGCCTTGGCCGTTTTGCCTCTTAAGATCCTCAGTTTTTCCTGCAAAAGACTCATGTCCACGGTCCTAAAGGCAAGGTTTCAGTTCTTTTGAAACCTAGGACCTGTTGTTGGGGAAGATTGTCAGTCTTCTATCCATTATCTATGCCACTTATCCTGAAGAGGGTCACGGGGGAGGGGCTAGAACCAATACCAGCTGACAGTGGGCGAGAGGCGGGGTACATCCCGGATAGGACTCCAGTCTGTGACAGGGCTGATACTTGGAGGTAGACAACTGCACACCCACACTCACTCCTACAGGCGATTTAGTCGCCAGTCAACCTAAGCTGCATGTCTTTGGACTGTGGGAGGAAGCCGGAGCACCCAGTGAGAACCCACGCAGTCACAGGGAGAACATGTAGGTTGGGTCGGCCTGGGTATTTCTATAACCATTCATTCCATTTCAGTTGTATTTGTATAGCACCAAATCACAACAACAATCATCTCAGGGCACTTTAGTCGGTAAAATCTAGACATTATTAGTTGGCTAAAGCCTGAGGAAGATTAAACAATTTAGTCTGCTGATGTAAAAGTACTGTGGTCGTCCGCAGGGTGATAAGAATGCTGCGTGGTAAATGCTTACCAGTGGAGGAGGACAGACTGCAAGCATACAGTAACGAGCATAAGAATTCTTAACTCTGAGTAACGTTTCACTTCAGCCAGTGTCATTCTGTCCTTCACTGCACAGCTTCTGCCTGCTGTGCCTCGTGTGTGGAGGAGCTGAGCTCCCTCCTCAGGTCAAACACCCTAACCATATTTTCCAATCCACTATTCTCACTTGCTGGTCTCTTGGTGTAGGCCTACTGATAAAATGCTCCTTTAAAACCCCAAGGACCTGGAAGTCAGTTGCATCAATGAAAAGGGATGACTATGCCTGGACTAAATTTACACCCTAATCTGCATTACAGATCAGCTTTTTATTAATTTCAGTGAGTCAAAATTAAGCTGTGCAACAATGTGTGATGAAGAATTGTCACTGATGAAAAGCACAACAACAATAGGAACAGTAACATTTATGTTTGTGTCTGCAGAACACTGAGATCCTGAGAGCTTTGCAGAAAGCATCCGGACTTTCCCCTGAAGCTGAACCAGTCAAACTTCTCTCCGTGCCCAAAGGAGCTCTGGGTAGCTCAGATCTGAATGTTTTTTCCCTAATATGCCACAAATCCTTGATAATGTTGTCCTCTAAGAGAAGCTGTCATTTATTTCAAGCATTGGAACAAAACCAGTGAACAAAACCACACTGAATTGTCTGATATTCAGATTTAACATACGTTGTGTCAGAGTGCTACAGGTTAGACTTTATAGCACAACTCTTAAAGTGAAGTTCAGATCAAGTCAGAAATCCAGTGATCTTCTGTCATTCACTGATCAGGACCGAATGTCCCTTATTGTCACTGTAGCCCATTCGTTTGTGCAGCATCTGAAGACGCAGGAACACTCCAGCCACAGGAGACAGAAGCCGGCTCAGTCCATCAACAGGTAGGTTGCCAACAAGCTCCACTCAGGCAGATAAAATGATGAATATTTGTGATGACTCTGTTGAAAGCATTGTTTAGTTTGATGTGCTTTGCTTCAGGATTCAGCAGATGAAGAAAGGTACCTCTGGTCCTGCCCCCAGGAGTTCACCAATCCTGAATCAGGTAACGGTGCACATTCTTAAAAATCCCTGATCTCAGAGCGCCCTGGTGGCCGAATACTTGCGGTACATGAGTAGCATTGTTTTTCCTCAGTAGTTGCACTCCTCATTCCTGGCAGCAGTTTAGCCAGTGTAAAATTATAGGAGGCGGTTCTTTATACAGAAGGCACAGCAATGCAGTCTTTGTCATCAGCGAGCTTGGCAATTTATTTCTATCAATATTATAACCAACCTTGATTAATACTCGATTTTCTGGCCATATAACCACAGTGGTATTTGAAAGTTATAAAACAAATTCAGCATTCCCTTTTTCTTTTTTTTTTTCTTTTTTTTTCTTTTTTTACATAAATTAGATATATACACATTTTTAATAGTGTCCTATAATTAATCTCAGTTTGCAGTGTTTCAAATTTTTATTGTGTGGTCTAGCTGTGTCATGTCTTTCTTTGACCTTCCATGAATAAACAATCCTATCCAGATGAGGCTTTAAATTCATAAAGCTTTGCTTGAACCACATTCACATCACATCATTTACATTTTTATGCCCCTACTGGTGGAAAGATTCAAACCAGCCTGTCCCATTTAAATGGGGTGGGTGTGGTGCAGCAGTGTCTTGGTTTGGGGGTTTAGCTTCTAAAGGCTCAGTCTTGTTTAATTAGAAAATGTGATGTAGAATGTAACACTGGATTGCCAAAAGATTGTACTTTTTACCCCACCATACTTATTTGACAGCTTTAGTTGCTGTTTTCTTTGCAGCTAAACATTTTACTGAACAACAGTACCCTATATCACACTAACTCCATCCTGACCAGCTGCAGAAATAAAATGCTCTTTACACATTCATTTATCATTAACAATAAATACATTACAGTATATTGTTAAAACAGTCATACGGGCATTATGAGTAGCCTGATTTTACTATTGATACTTTAAGTACACTGTGGCAACATTTTCATTGTACAACTTTTACTTTTGAGTACTTTTAATAATGCAGTACTGCAGCTTTCAGGATCTAAATACTTTGCCCAGTTGAGCATTGAGCTTATCTTTTTGTATCCTTCTGGAGATGATTCTCTCTCCTGGTCTGACCTGTCATTAATGTAATTACTGTTTTGAGTTGTGTGAGGATGGAGCCATCAGTGAGTGAGTCGTCTTCTGTGCTTCTCTTCGGGCGCAGTGCAGATTTAACAGGACCTTGACGTTGTCTGTGTAGAGGCACTAAATCAGTAAATGCCACAGACATTGTACATGAAACTGTAGCATGACCGCCTGTAGTCGGACAGATGTGCGCTGATGTGTAGACTATTTGCAGCTATTTTTAGGTAGGTTTACAGGGAGTCCCCAGCGGTGGCTATACGTATGCACCACTGTGTTGCTCATTACAACCTAGAACTGCTAGTGTGACTCCAAATGTTAACCTTTGTCTTATGACTTGACCTTGATTTTTCTTTGCAGAGGAGGTTGAGAAGAGGGGAGACAGTGGAGATCAGCAGCCCCTCGGTAGGCCTGGATGGAGGCCCCTGGCTGAAGCAGCGGCCCCTGGGTCGCTGTCACACCTTGGACTCTGGAGAACATACACCAGAGCAGCTGGCGTCAACACAAACTCCAAACACATGTGAATACTCTCCAAAAGAGAGTGATCAGACAGATGACACACACACTCCCAAAACCACTGATGACACTCCGTCAGCAGGTGCTCAGGTGTCCAGAGATGCAGACAATACACAGCCTGATATTAATGAAATCGACTCCACTGATTACTCTTCCTGTACAGGTAGCAAGACCTTACTGTCCCTGCCATCTGATGCATCAATGCACACTGATTATGTGTTTTTAGACCCTCAGGGTAATACTATAGCCAACTGGTCTGATTCTCAGTCAGAGGGCTCTGACAGCAACAGCCAAAGTCTCTGCCTTGCAAATGGAGCGTTAAAGGAGACCTGATGACCACACTGTGATCAGAGCTGGGTTCTTGCATTCAGAAAGCAAGGATGGAAGCTCTGGTCCTGCCCACCGGGCCGACCTCTGCTCTTACATACAGAGGTGATCAAAGAGACATCAAGCATCCACCAGAAACGGGTGCAGTCAAGTCAGTGAGGCTGTAGCTGAAGTGAAGACCTTGTCGGGAGACTTTATGTATGTCAGCGAATCACTGAACAAAGAATACTACTGATACTAATACTGAATAAAGAATACTTTGTGAAGGTTTAGCTGTCAAAGAAGGAACTGTTCAGTGTATGACAAAACTGTTTGTAAGGAAGAAAGAACACAATTTAGGAACAGATGTAACACTGAGTCTCCGCACAAACTGAGCTGCCTTGTATTAAAGCAGTGGCCCCTGCTAGAAAAATACAGTGACCGCTGACTTAAACTACCTGCTGTCAGGACCGCAACACATAACCTTCCATGGTTTTTACTTTACAGAAACAGCGCAGACAAGGTTAAATGGAAGGGGTTAGAGGGTCACTTCTCCCATATTGCAAACATTTCCTTACATACCTCTACTGGTGTCTGGTCATGCACAGTGTTTTTTTGTTTTGTTTTGTTTTGTTTTTTGTTCAGGTTTTGAGGTATCAGATTTCTGCCACCACTGTGAAGCAGTGGAAGTGAGCACAGTTTATTTTGTTGCGCTCACAGTTTTGAAATGTTAAACTTTAAAAAATTAAACACCAACTTGTCTGATATTTAATAGCCCACATTTGATTGTCCAGTTTTTTGGTTCTGTAAGAGGAGCAGTCTTAATTTTAATTAGGTTCTTCTGAATAGCTCCTCTTGAAGTTGATTTTTGATTTTTATAATTTAAGTGGTCGGGGGGGCCTAGTGTGAGCCCTGCACAGCTTTTGGTGAGTGACAGCAGCGCACAGACTGACTTGCTGTCAGTAATGCTTGTTACATGATCTGCAGGGTATTGTGGCTCATGAGCTACATTCATGTGCTGTTTTGTTCACCTATATGCAAATATTGTGTGATCAGTGTGGGGCTGCCCTCTGAACGTGGAATAGTCGAATCATTAGGCGAGAGACCTGTCAGTCAACTGAGACTCTTCTAGTTGAGCCTCTGTTTTTATTTTGTTATGTATTTTTTGTCAGCGAGTGTGCAGGATGAACATGAAGGAGCTGCTCTGGTGGCACGTGGTGGCCCAGCACCTCACTGGGACTGTGCTGGGTCATCTTTTCATTTGTCACAGGTCTGTATGTATTTTATAGGACAACTTTATTAAATCATGCTGTGCTAATGTTGGTGTGCTCATTTTTCTGTTCCTCATTATTCCCTGGTCGCCAGCCTATATATTCAATTCTTTCAGTCACTTGCTGGTTCACATGTTCACTTCATCTGTTATCTGTACCTCGTTCGTTTTCCTGGATCAACTCTTCGGATTACAACTCTGCTACTCCTGACTTGTGCTCCGTGCCAGTTCACCACTCGTGGTTTGTTTTCCTTTTTCTTGCTTTCAGTGGGACACTTAATTTTGGACATTACCCCTGTCAACCGCTGGATTGTATCCAGAATTTGTTGTCTTTTTTATTTACCCACTCTGGGGCCCTTAGTTAGATGTTGGAGTGTAGTTTTACTGCTCCTGTTTGTTCCTGTCAGTTTGAGTACCCGGTTGTTCCTATAGTTTTCTCATTCCTCTTTGCTTTTTAGTAATTTATTCTTATTAAAACAGAGTCTAGTCAGGGTCTGCATTTTTGGGTCCTTCCTGTGCCAGAGCCTCACATATGTCTTTGGTAGAAACTTGTTAAACACTGTTTGCAGGGAAATAAGATGTACTAAACCCTAACCTTAAGTAATCAATGAACTAAGCCAGACCAATGCCTTGTTTCTACCATTAACCACTTGAGATGAATATTGTATCAAAACATACACACATCTAGTGTCTTTGTGGGACTAAATTTTACTCAACTAATTGTAACCAGTGCCTAACTAGGGTTGCAGCAGTATCCTGGTTTCATAGTATGCCATGATTTAACTAGAGGAATCCATTTCCTGTCGTAAATGTGTGTGGATGCTGATAAGCTGAAAGATCATCCTGAAAATGCCTGAAATCAATAGCTGAAAGATGAGAAGAAATGGCTGAAGTTCTTTGTTGAAATAGTTGAGAAGAAATGTTTGAAGATTTGTTGAATAATCTGAAGGATGAGATGCAATAAAGTAGGAATGGCCTTGAAGAGCTGAACATTTTGATACCTGAATGGCTTTTCTAGCTGAACGTATGCTGAACTAATAAAATGCTGAACATTTTGACACCTGAAAGGCATATCTACCTGAAAGTATGCTGAAGTACAATTTTCCCATTAATTTGAATGCGGGGAAATTTTCAAAATAAAGCTAAATATTTCAGAAGTGTTGTGTATAAAAATTCTGAGTCAAAGAATGAATGTCCTGGGAGACTTGAACATTTTGATACCTGAAAGTATGCAAAAGTAGAATTTCCCCATTCATTTGAAAGGGGCAAACTTTTCAGACTAAAGCTAAATATTTTAACTTCTGTGTAGACACAGTGTTTGTATTCATGAGGTCCTGCTTTGTCCTGTAATAGGATTACACAGATAGGGGGTCAACAGCGCAGATGACCCATTGTTCAGTTGCCGCCTGGAAAATCACATCACAACACACACACACACACACCTGGTTTTGATAACATTTCAGCAGGCAGGAGTTAACCTACTCACACCAAATGACCAATAGGATTATGAAGTGTTGAATATAGTACCTCTGTCCAGGGCGGAGCAGCCCAAGAAGATAAATGTATTGTTAAAACATAATTCATGGTTCAGATGACGGATCTCCTGCGGGAGCTCTGTCGCTCTGATCTCAGCGCTGTAATGACTTTACTGTGCCCAGACTTTGAGTAAATTTCCTGTTGATTTTAAACAGTCCTCTCCTGTCTTCACTTCTCATGCTTTCGATAAAAGAATTTGGGAAGAATCTAACAATACAAAGCCCTTAATGACAAGGCTCCATCGTATCTTAAAGACCTCATAGTGCCTTATCATCCCAACAGAGCAAGTCTACTTGTGGTTCCTAGAGTGCACAGAAGTAGAATGGGAGGCAGACCTTTAGCTATCAAGCTCCTGTGGAACCACTTCCCAGTCTCAGTTCGGGAGGTGGACACCCTCTCTATCTTTAAGATTAGACTTAAGACTTTCCTTTTTGATAAAGCTTATGGTTAGGGCTGGATCAGGTTGTCAGAAAC